CTCCACCTCCTCACTTTCAGCGCAAAACATGGGAAGGGGGGGAGCTTTGGCAAGACTTCAGGCTTCTACGCCTTCACCCCGGTGGGGGCGGCAGGCAGCTGGGAAGCCTTTGCCCGGCCTGGGAAAATACTCGGCAGCTTGCATTTTTTCCCTGAGATCCTGAAATCTGAGTGGCCAGCAATCTTCTCCCTCTTTCTCCCACAAGCACACATTTCTCTCTCTCTCTCTCTCTCTCTCTCTCTCTCTCTCACACACACACACACACATGTACACACACTTTTGCACCTCTCTGTCTTTCTCTCACACACAACTTTACACAATTCTTCCTCACGCAGACACAGGTCCTTTCTTCCACACACACTCTCTCATACAAACACACATTTATTTCCCTCACGCATGCAATCTCTGATGCACTCTCTTACACAAACACACACTTCTTTCATGCGTTCCAACATTTCTCTGATGAAAATAGGGGCGTCCTATTCCATTATCATCATCATCTACTCATTATTTATACCCTGCCCATCTGACTGGGTCGCCCCAAGCTACTTTGGGTGGCTTCCAACACATAAAAAGCATAATAAAACATTAAACATACCGTATTTTTTGCTCTATAAGACTCACTTTTTCCCTCCTAAAAAGTAAGGGGAAATGTGTGTGCGTCTTATGGAGCGAATGCAGGCTGCGCAGCTATCACAGAAGCCAGAACAGCAAGAGGGATTGCTGCTTTCACTGCGCAGCGATCCCTCTTGCTGTTCTGGCTTCTGAGATTCAGAATACTTTTTTTCTTGTTTTCCTCCTCCAAAAACTAGGTGCGTCTTGTGGTCTGGTGCGTCTTATAGAGCGAAAAATACGGTAATTTTTTAAAAAAACTTCCATATACAGGGCTGCCTTCAGGTGTCTTCTAAAGGTTGATCGAAATAGGGACATTCCAGGATCCAATCCGAAACCAGGGTGGCTTCTGTAAATCTGGGACTGTCCTTGGAACAGTGGTTGCTGAACAACTCCAGGCACGCCTGGAAGAAGCGGACCATTTGGATCCCTTCCAGTCAGGATTCAGGCCTCATCATGGGACTGAAACTGCCTTGGTCGCACTGGTTGATGATCTCCGGCGGGCTAGGGACAAAGGTGAGAGCTGTTTCCTAGTTCTGCTGGATCTCTCAGCGGCGTTTGATACCATCGACCATAACATCCTTCTGGACCGTCTTGAGGGGCTGGGAGCTGGGGGCACTGTTATACAGTGGTTCCGCTCCTTCCTCCTGGGCCGTGTTCAGAAAGTGGTGGTGGGGGATGAGTGTTCAGACCCCTGGGCCCTCACTTGTGGGGTGCCTCAGGGTTCTGTCCTCCCCCCATGCTTTTCAACATCTACATGAAGCCGCTGGGAGAGATCATCAGGGGATTTGGGCTGGGTGTTCATCAGTATGCAGATGACACCCAGCTCTACCTCTCTTTCAAATCAGAACCAGTGAAGGCAGTGAAGGTCCTGTGTGAGTGCCTGGAGGCGGTTGGAGGTTGGATGGCGGCTAACAGATTGAGGTTGAATCCTGACAAGACAGAAGTACTATTTTTGGGGGACAGGAGGCGGGCAGGTGTGGAGGATTCCCTGGTCCTGAATGGGGTAACTGTGCCCCTGAAGGACCAGGTGCGCAGCCTGGGAGTCATTTTGGACTCACAGCTGTCCATGGAGGCACAGGTCAAATCTGTGTCCAGGGCAGCTGTTTACCAGCTCCATCTGGTACGCAGGCTGAGACCCTATCTGCCTGCGGACTGCCTCGCCAGAGTGGTGCATGCTCTGGTTATCTCCCGCTTGGATTACTGCAATGCGCTCTACGTGGGGCTACCTTTGAAGGTGACCCGGAAACTACAACTAATCCAGAACGCGGCAGCTAGACTGGTGACTGGGAGCGGCCGCAGAGACCACATAACACCGGTCTTGAAAGACCTACATTGGCTCCCAGTACGTTTCCGAGCACAATTCAAAGTGTTGGTGCTGACCTTTAAAGCCCTAAACGGCCTTGGTCCAGTATATCTGAAGGAGCGTCTCCACCCCCATCGTTCTACCCGGACACTGAGGTCCAGCACTGAGGGCCTTCTGGCGGTTCCCTCACTGCGAGAAGCCAAGTTACAGGGAACCAGGCAGAGGGCCTTCTCGGTAGTGGCGCCTTCCCTGTGGAACACCCTCCCACCAGATGTCAAAGAGAACAACAACTACCAGGCTTTTAGAAGACATCTGAAGGCAGCCTTGTTTCGGGAAGCTTTTAATGTTTGATGTATTATAGTATTTTAATATTCTTTTGGAAGCCGCCCAGAGTGGCCGGGGAAGCCCAGCCAGATGGGCGGGGTATAAATAATAAATTATTATTATTATTATTATTATTGTTTCTCACATACACACTCACTCACACATTCTTATGCATTCCCTCTCTCTCTCTCTCTCTCTCTCTCTCACCTTTTCCAACTGTTGTAAATGGCCCTCCCCTTTTCCCTAACAGGGGGGCCTTTCAAAGGCCCTGTGCACAGAGTTGGTCTGAAATGTTTTCTTTGCCTCCCTTACAGTTGACTCTTTCTACCCTGCAATCAGCTAAAGATAAAGGTAAAGGAACCCTGGACTGTTAAGTCCAGCTGTGGCGCTCATCTCGCTTTCAGGCAGAGGGAGCCAGCGTTTGCCCACAAACAGCTTTCTGGGTCATGCGGCCAGCAGGACTAAACCGCTTCTGGCACAACGGGACACCGTGACGGAAACCAGAGTGCATGAAAATGCTGTTTACCTTTCTGCCATAGTGGTACCTATTTATCTACTTGCACTGGCGTGCTTTCGAACTGCTAGGTTGGCAGGAGCTGGGACAGAGCAACGGGAGCTCACCCCGTCATGGGGATTCGAACTGCCGACCTTCTGATTAGCAAGCCCAAGAAGCTCAGTGGTCCCACCTACATGTGGGTCACACACAGAAGTGGGTTTCCTTCTCCTTCCAAGGGTGCTATGATCTCTTTCCCCAGGATCTAAACTGTAAGCTCTGTGGGACCAGGGACTTACACCGGGCAATCCTGTCAAGCACTTCTCTGGCGTGTATTGAAGGGGATTCTTCTCTGGCATTTTATCATTATTTATTATTTTCATTATTATTTCTATTTCTATGCCGCCTTTCCCCCAGCTCAAGGAGGGCTACTCAAATTTAAACAACACAGATAAAATCCAAACAGCTGTAAACATATGAAGGATAACTGTTAAAAATAACCAAACTCAAATAGAATTAGGACTAACCCCCCCAAATTGATTAAACTACAGATAATAAAAGCAGCACAGCACTCTTTCCTTAAAAAAAACATTCAGTTCCCTATTGGAATGAGACAGTTTTTGCCTGCCAGTAGAAGGAAAACAAGGAGGGAGCCAGTCTAGCCTCTCTAGGAAGGGAGTTCCAAAGTCACCTGGGAGCAGCCACCACCAAGAAGGCCCTGTCCTCCGTCCCCACTGCAGGACCAAGAAAAAGGCCTTCCCAGATTCTGGAGCCTGGGCAGATAAGTTAATAAAGATGCTTACTGTTGGTGGTGTGTGTTAGATCCCACATTAATTCACTTTGAAGTTGGAAGGGTGTTTTGGAAGAAAGGCAGAATGTCCAGAACACAAGAGGTCCCGATTTTCACCCTTATTTGATACAGTTCCCTCACTTTCATCTGAATCTCCTTCAACTGGGGCATGATGGAAAGGAACAGATCCCACATGGGTGGGATCCTTGACGATGCCACCCTGGCCCCAAGAAATCCCCCTCCCGCTTTCCCTCTGTCCTCTCCGAACGCCCCCGCCCATTGCACATTTTCCCTGGCAAGCAAGAGCTTGCTCTGATCTAAGATCCCTCTTCTGGGAACAAAACATCTGTCTGCGTGGCAGCGAAAGGACAGGCACAGACCCTTCTCCCACACAGTCCAGCTGGCAGAACAGGCTGGGCTGGGGGGGCAGTGTGGGGCTGCTTGGCACGTCCCCGCTGCGGGTGGGATTAACGAAATGCCTCCTTCCAGTCCGCTCCGAGCTGCGGCTGGAAATGTGCCAAGGCGGACCATTTTTGGAGAAAGTTTGTGCAATGCGCCGGACTGTTTGGCCTTTAGGAATCGACCGGTGGTTTTTGTGGGTGTGTGTTTTAATGAAAAGGCTTTTAACAGTGGTATTCTGTTTTTATATTCTACATTTTAACAGATCAGGGTTATTTACATGTTCTAAAAATCCTGTTACTTTTGGAAACGATGATTTCCTATGATTTTTAGGTTTTGTTGTATTTCATCTGTGTTGTTTTAATTTGTTTGAAGCCATCTTGGGTTCTGGCCTAGGAAAAGGAGGGGGCTATAAATAAATCCATATATATATATATATATATATATATATATATATATATATATATATATATATAATCATTCAATCATTTGACAATTGTTAGCTATATCAGTGGTTTTTTTCTGGGGGTACTCAAGAGTATGCAGTACAGTGGTACCTCGGGTTAAGTACTTAATTCGTTCTGGAGGCCAGTTCTTAACCTGAAACTGTTCTTAACCTGAAGCACCACTTTAGCTAATGGGGCCTCCCGCTGCTGCTGCACCGCCACCGTGTGATTTCTGTTCTCATCCTGAAGCAAAGTTCTTAACCCGAGGTACTATTTCTGGGTTAGTGGAGTCTATAACCTGAAGCGCATGTAACCCGAGGTACCACTGTACAAGAAACTCCCCCCGCTCCAAATATTAAAAGTGTGGCCCTTACTGTAACAACTTCATGCTGATACCTTTTTTTTTTTTAAATAAAAATAAAAACCACAGACAATATTTAACAAAACCCCCTCAACATTATCGTTATTTTCAGTTCAGTTAATATTATTCTGCAAGAAAACATGACTTAACGTAAGATTATAATATTTCTTTGGAAAAATCCCTGCAAACCTACTTGGGTTTGCTTTCGTAGGAGGTAATTATTTTCTTGACGATACTGTATAAGGGGCAGCCAGTTCTCCCACAAAAGAGCCAGTGTGGTTTAGTGGTTAGAGAGCCAGACTAGGACCTTGGAGAGCAGGGTTCAAATCCCCACTCAGCCACGAAAATCATTGGGTGGCTTTGGGTGCCAGTCACTGCCTCTCAGCCTCACCTACCTCACACGGTTGTTGTGAGGATAAAATGGGACGGTAGAGGACCATGTATTTGAGCTCACTGGAAGAAAGATGGGGTAGAAATGGGACAATGAAATACAGTGGTACCTCGGGTTACAGACGCTTCAGGTTACAGACGGACTCCGCTAACCCAGAAATAGTACCTCAGGTTAAGAATTTTACTTCAGGATGAGAACAGAAATCACGTGGCGGCAGCTGGAGGCCCCATTAGCTAAAGTGGTACCTCAGGTTAAGAACAGTTTCAGGTTAAGAACAGACCTCCGGAATGAATTATGTTCTTAACCTGAGGTACCACTGTAAACAGATCCAAGATTCACTTGCAAATCTCACTCTTAGATAAGATGTTAGTTTTGACATTATATCCGAATGCCAAACTTTATGTAGTTAGTGTTTCCAAGAAGGGAGTCATGTAACTTTCCAGTTTTCAAAGCACAACCTTCCCTCAAAAGGATCATGGGAACTGTAGTTTCTATAAGAACATACCTAATAAGAACCTGCTGGATGCGGCCAATGGCCCGTCCAGTCCCTGCACCCTGTTCTCACAAGGCCAATAAAGATGCCTGTGGGAAAGCTCTATCCATGACCCAAAGAATCCTGGGAACTGTAGTTTCCTCCTTTGTTGTTGTTGTTGTTTAGTCGTGTCCGACTCTTCGTGACCCCATGGACCAGAGCACGCCAGGCCTCCCGCAGTTTGGTCAAACTCATGCTGGTAGCTTCGAGAACACTGTCCAACTATCTCCTCCTGTGTCGTCCCCTTCTCCTTGTGCCCTCCATCTTTCCCAACATCAGGGTCTTTTCCAGGGAGTCTTCTCTTCTCATGAGGTGGCCAAAGTATTGGAGCCTCAGCTTCACGATCTGTCCTTCCAGGGCTGATTTCCTTCAGAATGGATTGGTTTGATCTTCTTGCAGTCCATGGGACGCTCAAGAGTCTCCTCCAGCACCATAATTCAAAAGCATCAATTCTTTGGTGATCAGCCTTCTTTATGGTTCAGCTCTCACTTCCATACATCACTACTGGGAAAACCATAGCTTTTCCTATATGGACCTTTGTCGGCAAGGTGATGTCTCTGCTTTTTAAGATGCTGAGTGGGTTTGTCATTGCTTTTCTCCCAAGAAGCAGGCATCTTTTAATTTCGTGGCTGCTGTCACCATCTGCAGTGATCATGGAGCCCAAGAAAGTGAAATCTCTCACTGCCTCCATTTCAGAGCTACAATTCCCAATACCCTTAACAAACTACAGCTCCCAGGCTTCTTTGGAAAGGGGTTGGGAGCCCTGTGCTTTAAATGTATGGTGTGTATTCAGACTGCAGCTCCCTGCTGTTTCCTTCTCAGTTAAGGAGGTGCTAATTTTGTTCTGGGCTGTGGAAACCTTAGCTCTGTGACGTCAACATTGCTTTTGGAAAGATAAATCACGGAGAAATGGATCCCTGTTTGTCTTCACACCTTCCAGCTAATTGAATTTATACCCCACAGAACGATAAACAGTAGCAAGCTGCCTTCTTCCTGAACCCAGCGAAAGTTTCAATAGGTCGCATGGAAAACTTTTTTTTTTTTTAAAGTATTATGTTTCCTAGGGAGCAGGTGGTGATTGGGATGAGAGAAAAGAGTTGGGCGCAGAGGGGCCTTGTTTGTGGGTGAGGGAGGTGGTGTGGTGATAAAAGGTCACCAATCTTACCCTCCCGGGTTTCTTTTCTGAGCACGGAAAGTCTTCGATCGGCTGAGTTGGGATCACACGAGATCCCAGCTTGATTGTAAAACAAAACAAAACAAACAAAACAAAACAAAACAAAACAAAACAAAACAAAAAAACAAAACACACCCTTAAAACAGTTTACAAAGAGACTGTCAGTTAAAAACAGCCAAAAAACCACAACTCTTGGATATAATCAAAAGATAAAAATCAGCAACAAACCAAAAACAGATTAAAACATGCATCAACATTAGGTATATATAGCTAGGGATGCGGGTGGCGCTGTGGTCTAAACCACCGAGCCTCTTGGGCTTGCTGATCAGAAGGCTGGCGGTTCGAATCCCTGCAACGGAGTGAGCTCCCGTTGCTCCAGTGGTTCTCAACCTGTGGGTCCCCAGATGTTGTTGGTCTACAACTCCCATTATCCCTGAGCTCTGGCCTTGCTAGCTAGGGGTGCTGGGAGTTGTAGTTCAACAACATCTGGGGACCCACAGGTTGAGAAAGGCTGTGTTGCTCTGTCCCAACTCCTGCCACTCTAGCAGTTTAAAAGCACACCAGTGCAAGTAGATAAATAAGTACCGCTGTGGCGGGAAGGTAAATGGCATTTCCGTGCACCATAGCTTCCATCACAGTGTTACATTGCTCCAGAAGCGGTTTAGTCATGCTCGCCACATGACCCGGAAAGCTGTCTCTGGACAAATGCCAGCTCCCTCAGCCTGAAAGCGAGATGAGCGCTGCAACCCCACAGTTGCCTTTGACTGGACTTAACTGTCCAGGGGTCCTTTATCTTTACCTTTACCTTTATATATATCTAATGGGATGAAGTTCACCTTTTAAAGAGGAAACCTTGATAAACAGGTCTAAACTAGTCCCTCTGTCAGCCAAGTACCCAGCACTTGCATTTTAAAAAAGATAAGGAAATGTATTTTTACAAAATTTATACAAAAGAGGGAGGTATGAGGAGGTCCGGGAAACAAGTAAATGTAAAAGAAGTGAAGAAAAGATGGAATTGTTTTTAACTGTTTTTTTTTTTTGTATTTTGTATTTTTCTTTTTTATTGTTAATTTTCTTATTAATGTGATTTTTCTTCTTTGGAAATTTTAATAAATATTATTTTTTTTAAAAAAAGGAAATGTATTTTTAAAGCCTCTTTAATACAAGTACTTTTTAAAAACCACAGGTGGGAAGGGATAGGAGAGGCATTCTTCCGCCGTGTGTGAAAGGTGAGGGCTGCCCCTTGCTTCTGAGAAGATATTTGGCAAGAGATCCTGTCAATGCAAAAGAAGGGGTGTGTCTATTCTATGTTGCTGTTGCGGAGATGTTTCCCTCCTATGTAAGAGGGGACGCCTCTTCTAAGAGGAGAATCAGGAGAGCAATTCTCTCCTAAGTGTAATGGAGAGTGCCTCTTCTGAGATCAAATTAGAAGAGGCATTTCCCCTTGTGTGTGAAAGAAGGGGCAGTGCCATTACCTTAAAAAAGTCTTGTTTGCTGCTCAGCTCCACATGCAGATTTAACCAAACAATTGACTGCAACAGCAACATCTTCAGTTGAGCTGTTCCGCTTGGCCTTTGATTTGGACTCAGTCTGACCCTTATGCTTCCCTCCCCTTATGGTTTTGATCTATGGGCTACTTTTAAAATGAGGCTGCTTTTTAAATTGCATTTTAACCTGTATTGTAAATTGGCCCCCCCCATTATGTTTTTACTGTAATTTTACTGGTGTTAGCCACCCTGAGCCTGGCTCTGGCTGGGGAGGGTGGGGTATAAATAAAATTATTATTATTATTATTATTATTATTATTATTATTATGATGATGATGTTTCAGCCAATTCATCGAGCTTTCAGCAGCCCCTGGGATAATTGTTCCTGTTGCTTTTTGTTGCTCATGGCGCTTTTTGGGATGACTTTGTTCCCTGTTAGGGACGCGGGTGGCGCTGTGGGTTAAACCACAGAGCCTAGGGCTTGCCGATCAGAAGGTCGGCAGTTCGAATCCCCGTGACGGGGTTAGCTCCTGCTGCTCGGTCCCTGCTCCTGCCCACCTAGCAGTTCGAAAGCACATCAAAGTGCAAGTAGATAAATAGGTACCGCTCCGGCGGGAAGGTAAACGGTGTTTCTGTGCACTGCTCTGGTTCTCCAGAAGCGGCTTAGTCATGCTGGCCACATGACCCGGAAGCTGTACGCTGGCTCCCTCGGCCAATAAAGTGAGATGAGCGCCGCAACCCCAGAGTCGGTCACGACTGGACCTACTGGTCAGGGGTCCCTTTACCTTTACCTTTACTTGTTCCCTGTTACTCATTTGCAGGGCACTTTTCATTGCAGGATTTCTTCCCCTGCCAGGTTCCCTCTGCTCTCTGACCGCACACCTTTACTTGTTTACGGGAGAAGGCAAGATGACCTAGGTCCTGAGCAAAAGACCACTCTCCCCAATTGGGATTCCCAGCAACTGGTGTTATTCAGAGACGTTGTGCCTCTCATCCTGCAAGCCACCATGACTAGCAGCCATTTATCAGCTTATCCTAAAAAATAAAAACAAAAACTTAGATGCAAGATAAAAAAATATAGGCCCCTCCGCGGGTGGCGCTGTGGGTTAAACCACAGAGCCTAGGACTTGCCGATCAGAAGGTTGGCGGTTCGAATTCCCGCGATGGGGTGATCTCCTGTTGCTCGGTCCCTGCTCCTGCCAACCTAGCAGTTCAAAAGCACGTCAAAGTGCAAGTAGATAAATAGGTACCGCTCCGGCGGGGAGGTAAACGGCGTTTCCGTGTGCTGCTCTGGTTCACCAGAAGCGGCTTAGTCATGCTGGCCACATGACCCGGAAGCTGTACGCCGGCTCCCTCGGCCAATAAAGCGAGATGAGCGCCGCAACCCCAGAGTCGGTCACGACTGGACCTAATGGTCAGGGGTCCCTTTACCTTTACCTTAGTCCGGCATTCTGCTTCTCACACTGACCACCCAGATGCCGATTATGGGAAACCTGCAAAAAGGACCTGCTAAATATTGCAATCTGGTGCAGAAACACAGAGAGTGAAACTTAAGGAGGAGAAATGGAGAGAAGTCAAAATTGAAATATTCGCCCATCGCTAGCCAGAGATACTAAGGAAAAGATGTAGAGTGGTGATGAGGAAATCTTTGAAACCACTTCCAACTCTCCTAAAAATTATTGTCCCATCTGCCCATCCTTCCACCCATCTTTCTTCCTTTCTTGCAAGACAAATGACAGCCCACCCCCACTTCGAGAGCATCCTATTGACTCTGGCCTGGTGGTAAATATTACCTTGCTTTTCTTTTCTTTAGCATAGGCAACCGGGAGAAGGGGGGGGGGGAGGAAAGCAGAGAGCCCTCCCATCCACGCCCCTCCCTTTCTCCGCCACGCCATCGAATTTCCAATTTTCAGCTAATATCAAGGTCGTGACAGCGAGCGCAGAGGCCCTGGTAGGACATAATGGCAGAAGAATTGTAAATGTTGCTTTTAGCGAATGCAGAATGAGGTTGGGCTAAGGAAAGGGAAATTTCCCATTCACCGCCGGCCCCCTGAATAAGCGAATACATTTTCTACCCCGAGTGTGTCGCATTAAATTTCCAGAGGTGCTGGGCGCCAGGTAGATATCATTAGTAACAGTTTTGCGTCGTAATGAATGCTTTTATTTCTCTTCCGAGCGATTCATGAATACATAAAGAAGCTGCTCTGAGTTGCATCTGGGCTCGTGGCGGCAGGAGTCTAATTTGGCGTCCTCTCTGCTGACAACCCTGGTTAGCCCAGCTGGGGTCAACTTTGAAGGAATCTGTTGCAACCAAAGGCTTACCATTTATCTGTCTGTCTGTCTGTCTTTGTGGTTGCACCAGAAAAGACCAAGGCTTGCATCCAACCACTTCCTGCTCAGAGCAAACCCATTGAAACTCATGGTCCTAAGTTTGTCCTGTCCATTAATTTTAATGAGTTCCATCTAATTTCTGCCTTTAACTTGATGGACCTAACTTGGCTATGCCTATGAATTTCAAACGTTGCTTCCGACTAACCTCTACTCAGAGTAGGCCCTTTGAAATTGATGGGCCTACTTTAGTCCTGTCCATCAATTTCAATGGGTTGCATCTAACTAAAACCCACTGAAGTTGATGGACCTACATTAGTCAGTGGGTCTATTCTGAGTAGGACTAACAATGGCGACATCCCTTACGGCCTGCAGTGCATTAAAAGAAAATATAATGAAAATGATGCATAGATGGTATATAACACCGGTGAAACTAGCCAAAATGTATAAAACGAATAATAAATGTTGGAAATGTAAAGAAAAAGAGGGCACGTTTTACCACATGTGGTGGGAATGTAAAAAAGTGAAAAACTCCTGGGTAATGATTTATAATGAAATTTTAAAAAGTTGAAATTGACATTTCCAAAAAACCCCCAGAAGCTCTTTTACTGGGTATGGTAGGTACAGAAATTCATAGAAATGATAAAAATCTGTTTTTATATGCGACCACTGCAGCAAGAATACTATTAGTTCAAAGATGGAAGCAAGAAGAAATGGCAACAAAAGAAGAGTGGCAAATAAAATTGATGGACTACGTTGAGCTGGCAAGACTTACAGGGAAAATTTGGAACCAGACTTTCCTAAGGGATTGGAAGAAATTTATGTTGTATTTGAAAGACAACTGTAACTACTTAACATCGCTTGTAGGATTGCAAGAAGTTTTGTAAGGAAGACCATTCAAATTATTGAGAGAGGTATTAAGATTAGCTGATGTAAGACTGGATTTAAAACAATAAGCATAGTAATAAAATGCATAATTAGAAAGGAATTCAGAAAACCATTAGAAGGGGTTGATGGAAGCCATAGGCTATGGCAGCCAAGGATTTGTTATGTTGCGTTGGAAAAATTGTGTAAAATATATTAAAAAACAACAACAATGGCCACATCCCTGTTTGTCTCTTCTTCACCCACAATATTAAAATGATTCCCCGCTTCTGATTGTGGAAACATCTAAGGTAAATTGGTCATAATGTGCGATTCTGCTATAAAAAGCTCCCCTTTCAATTTATCCACTTCCGAGCTAGGGAGGAGGTGTGGTTGCGGGCTTCACGCCCCTCCCCACACTTGCGGGGGGCTGGCTTCAGCCCCACGCGATAGCTGGGAATCCTCGGCCACATCATACCCTGTGCCAGCCAATCGGATGGCGCGGGGGGGCGTGGCCTCGCCTACTTAGGTCTGGCATGGCCGAGGACCGCCCTCTTTCCCGTGCCGCAGCTGACTGGGTTTTCCCTTCCCTCCCACCCGTTAGGCTAGGTTTTCTGACGTTGCTATGAACTGCGGTTGGTCGCTGTCAAGGGGCCTGGTAGGAATTTTTTTCATCTGGCAGATTGGCTCCAGCCATTTGATTTTTGCCTACCTCGTAGCAAACCGTCACAACTTCACGGTATGGGCGGTAGGCATTGGTCGGGGTACAGTCTATTGTTATGCAGATGAAGGGGGAGAAGGATAGCCATCACCTTCTCCCAAATAAATGGTAGTCCGGTAAAGGATTCCGGGGGGCGTGGCCTCGTCCTAAGCCTATGGAGGTGTGGGCCCACGGCATGCCCCCACGCGGTGACCCCGGGGGAGGTCCTAGTTGACATGCCTCAGCAGGACTCCTCCCACTGGTGGTTAACCCTCACGGGCCAGGCCGGTTAGTTGTAGGACCAATGCCTAAGACAATACCGCTCAATTCCTGTAATCAATAAAGTTGTGGCCTAATTTGACCCATTAACCTGAATTCTTGTGTCCTATGTCTTTACTTCTATGGGGGGAGGCGGGAACCACGCAACCACATTTTCATGTGTGCAAGACCAGCTTGGCTGAATGGAAGTGCTGCTCTTAGGGATGGGGGAAGAAATTGGTTTGGTTTGCATTTGGGTTTAAGTCGCACATGCTGGTGAACCAAAATCATAGAACTGGAAAGGACCACGAGGGACATCTAGTCCCAAGATGGGGCTCAAACCCACAACCCTGATATTTAGAGTCTCATGCTCTGCCGACTGAGCTATCCCAGCAGCCATCCTTTGAAATGCCCTCGTCATTTGAAATTTGCACCCCTCGAAATTTGGCAATGCATTTTATCCAAAGAAAAGAATTCGGCACTGAAGTGTAGAGATCAGCAGATATAGAAATGCCATTATATTAGGGGAAACTGCTTGCAGGTAGGCAAATGTTTAGTGGAAATTCATGCAAAAAAACTGTATGCAGGTTTTCTTGTGAACCTTTCGAAAATGAAAAATTCGCAAATAAATGTGGAAACTGACATGTCGAACTAAACTTGAAATTTGGAAAAACGAGAAATAGAGAAGACCCAGACTGATAGATTTATTCATCCCTAATCTGATCTAAATAATAGTAATAATATTATTATTATTAATAATAATAATAGATTTAGATTGTTCTCTGTTTTTCTTTATGTTTGTTTTAATGCATGGGCTACTTTCATAAAAAGAGTCATAAGTTTAATAAATAGGAATAAAGGATGATAATGAACAATGGTAATTTATTTCATTTATGAATTGCTTTCAGTGACGCATCCCGAAGCGATTTAAAATGTAATAACACACGCACACACTATACAACAGTTTCATATATAACAACAGTTAAAACAATGGCTTCACGGACACAAAATGTAAAGTAGCAACTGCACATACATTAAAAATCAATTCAAATCCAAAACAGCTGCCGACCGGGATAAAGATCTTAGAAGGCTTGTTGAAAGGGTAGTGTGTGGAAATGTTTCTACCCCAAAGCAGGTCCTATTGAGTTCAACTAGGCTGCCTCCCTGGTAAGAGTGCTTAGGGTTGAAGCCATTGTTGTTCTTGTTCTTTAGTCATTTAGTCGTGTCTGACTCTTCGTGACCCCATGGACCAGAGCACGCCAGGCACTCATTTAAAGTAAATAAAAGAAGTTTACTCACATCAGTTCACAGTTGGATTCCTGAAGGCAGACTTAGTTACAAATATGTACATGTGGATCTACCCCATATGGGGAATAGTCCCAGTGCTTCTGCTAGCTGAGAGAGCTAGCAGAGCATTCCTAGATAAAAAGAAGAAGAAGAAGAGTTTGGATTTGATATCCCACCTTTCACTCCCTTTAAGGAGTCTCAAAGCGGCTAACATTCTCTTTTCCCTTCCTCCCCCACAACAAACACTCTGTGCGGTGAGTGAGGCTGAGAGACTTCAGAGAAGTGTGACTAGCCTAAGGTCACCCAGCAGCTGCATGTGGAGGAGCGGAGACGCGAACCCGGTTCCCCAGATTTCGAGTCCACCACTCTTAACCACTACACCACGCTGGCTCTCTGGTCCAATGAAGAAGGAAGTGAAAATGGGGGAGAGAGAGTGCTGCATGACTCGCCCTTTTGTTACCTGGACAGGTAAGGTCACACCCACCTCTAGTCATAGGCAAGGGAAGGATGCTTCAGCCCAGGAGGAACAGGAAGTTTTGACTGGCTGGACCAACATCCCCTTGCATGTCCACTCTAGGAAAACAAGGAATGTTGTATTTGACTGCTCCCAGTGGATTACACCCTCCCCACACGAGGCCCTGCATTGCAGGGTATTGAACTCGATGACCCTTGGGACCCTTTCATGACAATTCTATAATTCTAAGACTATTGTCCCCTCCGGTGGTGTCCAGCAACTGCGAATTCAGAAGCATTGCTGCCTCCAACACGGAGGCAGAGCAGAGCCATCGTGGTTGGCTGTCATTAATAGCCCCTTTCTCCATCCACCCAAGTTGGTGGCCATCACTGCCTCCTGTGGGAGTGAGTTCCACAGTCTAACCATGTGCTGCATAAATAAGCACTTCCTTTTGTTTGTCCTGAATTTAACCTGGAACCTTTCGAGTGTCGTCAAACATTCACCTCTTGCCTCCCTCAGACCTTCCAAAGTGTCCCTATTTTCCAGGGACAGTCCTGGATTTGCAGAATTTCTGATTTGATCCCAGAATGTCCCATTTTTCCTTAGGACGTTCCTATTTTCACCAGAGAAATGTTGGGAGGGTATGGAGTTAGGCAGCCCTTGAGCCAAAGAGATAAGTAATTATACAACCTTTAGAAGACATCTGGAGGCAGCCCTGTATAGGGAAGTTTTTTTTAAAAATGTTTAATGTTTCATTATGTTTTTCTTATACAGTGGTACCTCGGGTTACATACGCTTCAGGTTACAGACTCCACTAACCCAGAAATAGTACCTCGGGTTAAGAACTTTGCTTCAGGATGAGAACAGAAATTGTGCTCTGGTGGTGTGGCGGCAGCGGGAGGCCCCATTAGCTAAAGTGGTGCTTCAGGTGAAGAACAGTTTCAGGTTAAGAACGGACCTCCGGAATGAATTAAGTACTTAACCCGAGGTACCACTGTATGTCGGAAGCTGCCCAGAGTGGCTAGGGCAACCCAGTCAGATGGGCAGGGTATTAATAGTAGTAGTAGTAGTAGTAGTAGTAGTAGTAATAATAATAATAATAATAATAATAATAATAATAATATTTATTTATCCTCCCCAGCCAAGACGGCTCAGGGTGGCTAACACCAGGTATAAAAGCAATTGATTAAAATACAACTTAAAAACTAGATTAAAGTGCAACATTAAAATGCAGACTCATTTCAGTAGAAACTCAAATCAAAAACTTTTTGGGGATGAAAATGTCATATCTTCACCAAGGCCAACTATCCAGACTGGTCCTACGTGGGCCAGAAAAAGTCGGGGTGGGGGAGTCGTAGTAATTATAATAATAATAATAATAATGGAATAAAGGTAAAGGGACCCCAGACGGTTACCGGTAAGTCCAGTTGCGGACGACTCTGGGGTTGCGGTGCTCATTTCGCTTTACTGGCCGAGGGAGCTGGCATTTGTCTGCAGACAGCTTCCGGGTCATGTGGCCAGCATGACTAAGCTGCTTCTGGCGAACTAGAGCAGTGCACGGAAATGCCATTTACCTTCCCACCGGAGTGGTACCTATTTATCTACTTGCACTTGACATGCTTTTGGACTGCTAGGTTGGCAGGAGCAGGGACTGATCAACGGGAGCTCAGCCCGTTGTGGGGATTCGAACCGCCGACCTTCTGATCGGCAAGCCCTAGGCTCTGTGGTTTAGACCACAGTGCCACCGAGTCCCATAATAATGGAATAGGACACCCCTATTTTCATCTTGGGTTCCATGATCACTGCAGATGGTGACAGCAGTCACAAAATTAAAAGACGCCTTCTTCTTGGGAGAAAAGCAATGACAAACCCACTCAGCATCTTAAAAAGCAGAGACATCACCTTGCTGACAAAGGTCCGTATAGGAAAAGCTATGTTTTTCCCAGTACAGTGGTGCCTTGCAAGACGAATGCCTCGCAAGACGAAAAACGCGCAAGACGAAAGAGTTTTCCGTTTTTTGAGTCGTTCCACAAGACGAATTTCCCTATGGGCTTGCTTCGCAAGACGAAATGTCTTGCGCGTGCGGGCGAGGTTGGCTCCTTGTTCTTCAAGCCGCTAAGCCGTTAATAGCCGCTAAGCCGCTAATAGCCGCTAAGCCGCTAATAGTCGTGCTTTGCAAGACGAAAAAACCGCAAGACGAAGAGACTCGCGGAACGGATTAATTTCGTCTTGCGAGGCACCACTGTAGTGATGTATGGAAGGGAAAGCTGGACCATAAAGAAGACTGATCGCCAAAGAATTGATGCTTTTGAATTACGGTGCTGGAGGAGACTCTTGAGAGTCCCATGGACTGCAAGAAGATCAAACCTCTCCATTCTGAAGGAAATCAGCCCTGAGTGCTCCCTGGAAGGACAGATCGTGAAGCTGAGGCTCCAATACTTTGGCCACCTCATGAGAAGAGAAGACTCCCGGAAAAGACCCTGATGTTGGGAAAGATGGAGGGCACAAGGAGAAGGGCGACAGAGGACGAGATGGTTGGACAGTGTTCTCGAAGCTACCAGCATGAGTTTGACCAAACTGTGGGAGGCAGTGGAAGACAGGAGTGCCTGGCGTGCTCTGGTCCATGGGGTCACGAAGAGTCGGACACGACTAAACAACAACAACAACAACGATTTTCATAGGATAAATGTTGGACGGTATGCTCCCTTCCACTCGGGCTATCTTCCTCCCGCCCTGTCCCCACATTCAAGAATTGTGCCCAGGCTGCTTTCTGACCCAAGCCCTATGGGTCAAAAGGGCTTGAGCCCCTCTCACAAGGCTGGCTCACCATTCCAAAGAGATGCTTTCCTTTCCATGCCGACTTTCCCCTTTTGCAGGCCTGTGCCCTAGAACGAATCTTGTAATTCCCTGCTCTCCGATAAGAACAGGAAGAGACCGTCAGGCTGATCTTAATCCTAAATTCCTGCTCATTTTCTCTCTCCCTGCCCCCAGGTTCCTTTAATATTATTCTCCTGGTTTTTCTTTTTGGGTGTGTGCGGTGGGGGTGGAGAGCCAGAAATGAAACCATAGGTGTCCCTTGAACTCATTTACCTCCTCTTGCTTGTGCTGGTAATTTATTCCATATGTTTATTTACCTTCCTCCCCCCAGTTTGATGTGCAGTACCTTTTTACCCCTCCCCATCGAATTAGTTACGGCCGAAATCGACGGGTCAGCGAGAACGGGTGAGGGTTATGCCCGAATTGCATTTGTGATGTTTGGCCCCCAGGCTCTGAGCTGGGGTAAGCATGGAATTGGGCTCGCCGGTGAGGTCACGAGTCACATTCTGTGCTCGGACGACTTCCGTGTCGAGAGGAAAGCCGCATGCATGGAAACAGAAACTGCGGATCGAGTGCCATGGTCAGAGAATGTCTGTAGGGATAAGCTGTACTCAGAGTAGACCCTAGGCCATAAATAATCAGGCACAAACAAGCCAGCCAGAAGAGGAAAGGATTGCATCCGAAGATGTTAGTCCATTAGCGTGAAGGATGTTGTGTTAATGAGGACCTTTTTCTTTTTACAAAAACATATCGAGAAGAGAGAGAGAGAGAGAGAGAGAGAGAGAGAGAAAGCCCCAAAGAGGAGACTTAGAGGAGATATGATAGGTAAAGGG